ACCAAAGAAGCCTGCAGTGAGCAGAGATCTATAAGGAGTGTCGGGTGAGGAATACAAGTCACACTGACCAGCACGGACATGAGGAGAGCCGGATAATGAACACAAAGCGAGGGCGATGAACGGGTCAGCGAAGCCCAAACTAACATTTCAGAATTTTGTAGATACCGGAGAGCTGAACCACTCAAAGACTCTGGAGATAAATGTGTCCGGAGTTCCTGATCTCCTTGGAGTCGTACTTCTCATGGAGGATGCAGATAGGTTAGCGGGGACACTTCAGTTGGTAGCCGGAGGAGGAGTAAGACTCCAAGGTTGGAGATAAAAGAGCCGGGACGGCAGGAAGATCCACCGTTGAAGTCCTCAAGAGCAAGCGGGTGACTAAGCCAACCAAACCTATAGCTGAAGTATCACTTCTGATTGGACTTTACCAGGTTGCACCATGAGCAAGGACCCGAGAAATCTACAGAAAGTCTATGTTGACTTTGAACCACACGGCTCCGACCGTCCAGCCGCAGCAATGGTAGACATTCTTTGGCTCAGCCCCTGGTCATATGCGGCGGGTTATGCTGAAGCAATCCACTGTGCTAATTGGGCCATGGGGAGATGACATGACTGTAGTGCACCCTCTAGTGCAGTTCCTTTCATTCCTGTGACCCCCCCTTGCCCCCGGCACACTCTCCCAGTCCTCCACATCTTCACTGGACTGGGTGGAGATTACAACACCCATGTGGGGGCCCAGTGGACAAGATTCGGACAAGTGTCCTATGGAGACTTCACACTCCAGGATCTTGATGGATCCGGGTCTAGTTAGTATAGGACTTGGAGAGGGTTCTGGGTTTAAGGAAAGGGGGGGCTAAAAACCGGAAACCTTGACTGATCTTTATTGCCGAATGCCCCAGGATCCAGCGGAGTGTCAGCTCCAAGATCGAGATCCGACACCTCTCCTTCCTTTAAAAATGTCCTGACCCCAACGCCATGGGCTTTGAAGGTGCACAGGACAGTCTGGAGCAGAGAGCATCTGGAGCAGTTACCCAGGGCAACCAATCAGCTTCTCTCTTCAGTTTGTCCAGCTGAGATTAGAAAATGAAAAGATAGACGCCGATTGGTTATCATGCACCCGCTTCTCCAGATTTTCTCTGCTCCAGTTTTGATAAATCCCCCTCTCTGTGTTTAAAGCTGAACTCCGGACAAAAAAAACAACTTTAAAATATTCCTCAAAAGGAAGAATTCTCTTTACTTCCTGTGGCGTCACAAGGACAGGAAGTCAAGGCAAATCTCAGCAGGGACACAGGCAACAATGAAAATTTGGTAATGGCAGTGACCCTCCTCCACGCTACCCACACCTTAAAAACATTTTTTGTGATGACCTTTTCCATTTTATTGACGGGGTCTTCTCTTTACTATAAAGATTCTGCAAGACAAATCGTGT